TCGGTTCATTCGACCTGCGAGGTGGTTTGTTGGGCTTGGAAGATATCAGTATGTTGCATATAGCGTAGTACATAGGCCAACTCAATAGCAATTTAAAGCTGCTGGTCAAGATCCATTTTTTTCTTGAATATATAATGCCTCCCGTCGGCTTGATTTCGTTTGATTGCATTTCTGCTGGTCTCCTCATTGTTACACCACTAGGACGGTGGAACACAGAGGGTATAAATCACCAGTGCTTCAGATCGATAAAATCAATTCCCCGTGTTGATCTTTGGGATACAGTCTGCCGATCAAAGTGGACATGCTCAATGCTTAATGCTCTGATCATCAAGTGGAGTTCTTCAATGAGGAACACCCGGCCCGATTGGCAGAGCGGGTGGAAGTGGAAGCCGACGCGTGCGCCGTTTCGGGTAAACAGTCAACTGACCACCGGTTGAAGGTCAAGTCTTGGACAGATTGTCTAATTCCACATTCTTTCAGACGCCATGGCTTCGGCACGCCTGACTTGAGGGTCGGTGATGCTCAATTCTCCGACGTGGTCTCGATTGCGCCTGCTCGCTAAGCGTCTGTTGACGTCCGTCGCAGATTCGCTTCCCCACTGCGGAGGTGACGCGCTACAGTCCACAACAAGCGGCGCGGCGTGGTCGCAGAGGACAAAATCGCAGCTCACTGCTTCTCACTAATCACCACTCCTTAAAATATACTGAAAAAATAAGTCGCGCCCGGCATGGATAACGAAGTCCCTCTTCCCCCGCCACGCCGAATCCGGCACCGCTCCCCCGCCAATGCCAGTTCCTCCGCCGCGAAAACTCCAACCGCGGCAGCAGGCTCCTCACTCAAAAAGACATACCGCCTCTCGCGCTTTGATGACCGCTCCAGCCAGCCATCCAGTGATCCCGCGCTCTTCTCCAGCGATGATATCCCTGCGTCCGGTCTCGAAAACTACAATGCCCCCGCCTCCTCTGGAGCCGGAGCGGGCAGGAAACGACGCTACCGGGGTACCTGGTGGGGAGAGACGGCTGTCGATCCGAAGCGGAAGAGGGCGGATTTCAAGGACAAGCGGCTTGTGGATAGCGGTGTGTGGATGGGGAGTGATGAGTCGACGGCGGAGTCGCTTTTGCCGTCTGAGGATGCGTTGGTGTGGGGGGAGGACTTGGTGAGAAATATGAAGAGTTCTATGTCGGTTGATGTGGGAGATGAGGGACAGACGTGTGCGATAAGTTCACAATCTGCGGATTTACGGCTGCGTCAGACGGTGCCACAGCGGGGGGTTTTCAGGAAGGTAGAGGAGCCGAGGGAACATCAGCTAGCCAGGACGATTGTCAATGACTGTCTCGAAAAAGGGCAGGACAGCGTCGACTTGAGGTGAGATCATTACTGATTGGTTTGTGGAGTTGAGCTCTAACCCGAATTCTTGCAGCAATGGCAATTTGAGAGTGCTTCCGTCGGGCTTGCTGCTTCCTCTTCAATATCTCACCAAGTTGCCCTCTGTCAGAGAGCCTCCAATTTCGGAAGAGGGCTACAGCCCTTTACAGCCGTTTCTTCGTCTGTTCCTGGCCGGCAATGCGCTTACTGCAGTTTCGGGAGAAATATTCGAACTCGACTCACTCAGAGTTCTCAGCTTGCGCAATAACAAGCTGACGGAGATTCCTCCCGCTATAAGAAAGCTGACAATGCTGCAAGAGGTCAACCTTGCGGTCAATCGTCTGCGATGTCTTCCTTGGGAATTACTATGGTTGATCAAGAAGGGTGACCTGAAACATCTGATGGTTCGTCCCAACCCTCTTCTTCAGATTAGTGAGGTAGAAGTTACAAGGTGGTACTCCCCCGATGGTAGCGATGCAGCATCGCCGGAGGAAGCGTTGAAGTCGTGCCATTATGAAGGCCCCGCACCCGAGGAAGCATGGGCCCCAATTCAGGTCGCGATCAGCCCCGTCCGACGGTTCAACATGGAAGGTATTCCCGTAAGGGATGGCCAAAGCGGCACCTTGTCGTTGAGATCATCGGACGATGCACCGTCCCGTGTGCCCTCGCTGCGTGAGGTATCTCTCCTGGCTTTTAGTCAGTCGGCCTATTGTGACCAGATATCCGAGTCCGAAATGATCGGCTATCCGGAACTAATGCTTCGCCTCCTTCGACAAGCTAAGGGTGTCAGAAATGCCGGCGGTAGAAGCTGCTCGATATGTCACCGTAGCTTCGTAATTCCTCGCACCGAATGGATTGAATGGTGGGACTGCAGTACCTATGAGAACGGCCTCAAGAGACCTCGGTGTCCTGGCGAGCAACTACGCCCCTTGCCATTTCGAAGATTTGGTTGCAGTTGGACATGCGTTCCTGAAGCTGAAGAGGCAATGCTCCAAGCTCAAACTGGTCAGCAACAAGGCTGATAGGATCATTATTTGAGGTTGGCGTGGGAATGTGCATTTTGTGATTCTAAGCGTTTGTCGATAGACTGTATCATGAGTGCTGTACATATGTTGGTGTATATTCGTCGTCCTGCCTTTCATTGCTCTTGAGCTCTCCAGGCTGTCTGTATTATTAGCTCTGCAGGGTTTCGCGGAGAGGCATCTATTACTCTGAAGACACCTTTTAGACCCTGATCATCACTGCCTGTTCCTCTGATTCACTGTATCAACCCTTGCATAACTCATTACAGCAGGGGACACATGACCAGATAGGCTGAACCAGAGAGAATGGCAAGCCATCAGCCTAAGTTTAACCTTGGATGATCTGTCCAACTAACCACCAATAGCCATACTTTCTAGGGCTTCTTTATTAGTCCGAACTTGGTAATATCAGAATTATTCACAGGTTTTAGAACCACTGGGCCGTGAAAACTTAATCTAAGAATCTGACATGATGATTCGACGAAGCATCACTAAGAATCATACACTCTAACTAGGACCTACCCTCCTCTGCTCATACAACTACACTCAATGGCATCAACGTACCTCACTCAAACAGCTCCGCACGTACAGAAGGAAAAGCTGAGGGAAATAACACAGCTCGTCGAACACCTCATCCCATGCGCCACCTTTGGTGAGCAATAGGCGCCTGAGTCGGAGGCTTTTCAATGTTGCCGGAAGTGTCGAAGTTCCAAGAGGTATTCACAGGGGATACATGCTATGTCAAGCCACAAAAGGCGTAGCGGAGGCCCTGGGGTGTATGAATAGTGATGAACATGTCTGAATCTCATGCAGGCCAGATGCTATAATTGAACACAGATTGTCGCCATGGTCAAGAATGCGATTGAGACAGGATTCACTTTTCTCGTTAGGGGAAAGTCATCGCGGAGTGAGACGGAAAGATATTAATGTTCCTTAAGCCTCTCAGCATTAGAGGTTTATTAGATGATGACCTAGGAATGATTGCATCCATGCCTTCATAGCGAATCTCGAATCTCTCCAGGCTGACCGGCTGTGGGAGTTGAAGACACACTCGATGTTCTCAATGTAGTCTCTCGAACTGCCAATGCACCTTCTCGAACCGATGTTGCCAAATCTGACATTGATAGAGCGTAGAGACCAGAGCCGTTCAAGACGTTTCTTGAAAACACTGCGCAAATCTCCACGAGAATCGACTGCACAAATCGTCACTATGCTTAAATCAACCTACCCCATCATAGACCTCGATTTCGGCTGCCCGCCCGCAAGATCTCCTGTCTTCGGCCATGTCTCTCTTGTAGTAGGTGAGTGAGCTAGATGCAATGAGCATAGTTTGGTTCGTGGGTAAGGACAATAAAAAGGGACCGTCTTGGGCAGATCCTTCTTCTGAACTAGAGCCATAGAATCAATGCGATTTTGTACAATTCGTTGTGCCTTAGAACTGAACTCGGTCTTTGAATCCCAACTGAAACGACTTAGTCAAAAGTTGAGTTGGTTTCACAGGCATTAACTCGCCTCTGAAGTGATTTTTCTCCCTGTTAGGCCCAGAGGTTGGTATAGGGATGCAGGACAAGACGTCGCGGAAACAGAAGGAGACTTACGCGAGCCACATGGCGACATGCCTGTTAACTCCTGACCGTAGCTGTTGGCTTCGATCGCAAATCAGTCCGGGATTTCTTCACTGACTTGTTCTGAAACCGTTTACCCACATTTGAGCATGTATGTTCAAGCCGGGGAAGATCAAACAATTCTTCCTCGTCGCAAAATGCTCGGGTCTTGTCGAGTCTGATCGCTCAGCCCAGGATGACCTATGAAGCTGCGCAGAGCTCCCAATCAAACAAGAACATTATGGTCCATCGACTCCTATACATATCCAGTTTGTTACCATCAGTACCGCGTCAAAAGCCGGTTCAGCGAGTTTCTGGTGGAAGGCAATCATGCACTAGATGAACAACAGTTAGACACACTCTGAAGATACAGTCCAAAAAGAGCAGATAAAGACGATGAAAGAGCTACAAAACGCATGATACTTAGACGGACATTTGATTGAGAACACAAAGATCAGCTTCTGACTTTCCGACGAAAGTCGAAGACCAATGGATAGACGTTCTCCCAATAGCTGGTAGAAAAGGAAAAGACTTTCCTGCTCAGCGGAAAGATAGAAGATAACTAGATGGGAAGCTGCAAGATTTTGTGAAGGTGGAGAGAAAGGAAAGAGAACGACCGGACACCAGGTGGACTACTCAAACGATACATTTTGTGGCTGTTGTGACCGATATGACATGCTCAACGCTCCTACAACCGACCGGCACCAAATTTTACCAAATCTGCAGAAGCAAAGCTCTAGTTCCAGGTTGTGTAGAGCTATGAGAGTCGCAAGGTAACCTAGATCTTCTAATTACACTGCAAACCCCCAAAGCTATTCACCAAACCATCGAATTGCTTTATAGAACCTCCATCCTCTTGCTCTGCTTTCCCATCACCATATAGATCTCCGTTCTCCAACTGCTCTCCCATCCTCTATCATGCTATCCATGCTTTCGAGCCTGGTTGCGTGATCTACCAATCCACAGGGTCCGTTGAAAGCAAGAGTTACCACAAAACTGTGCAAGGCTTCTACCAAGTACCAGAAGGTTGACTGTAGACTTGAGGACCGGCGAATCCATCTTCTGACTCTTTTCTCATATCAGGGCCGGCTCGACCGGTTGGAAGTTTCCAATGGGTAACTGCAGGGTCCTGAAAGAAATAACTGCGACGTCCGCCATGGCTGGGCTCGCGGCAGCCCGAGTCGACCTCTCCGTAATTTGCAAAGTAGTCAGTCTGCTTGGTAGGATCATTGGACGCATGCAATTGAAGATTGGCAATAACGTTCCCCAGAAGCAGAGTCGTCTGCCATGCAGTCATAGTCTCTGATGTGGGGCGAGAAGTACCATGAAGCAATGCTTCTCTCTCAACGTGATCATAAGCAATGGATGCGACCAGCTGTCGAAGCTCACCCGCACCCCGGTTATCGGTATGGAACCAGGAATTCGCTTCCTCAAGCCTAGCCCTCTTTGGTGCCAGGGTATCGAAGAACAAGAAATCAGTTGACTTCCGTTGTTCCGAGGGCATGGGAAGCCCCGGTGCAGGCGGGACAACCTTGCTGTTAGCTACCAGCAGCTTATCGTAGGGGTTCTCTTGCTTGTCCTTTGTTATATCGCCTTCATTAACAAGACAATGACTGGTTCTGAGAGGAAGGTGTTCAATAGCGCCGGCTTTTGAAAGCGAATTGGCATCTTTGTCTGCGAGGTTGAACTGTCTACTGACTGAGCGTGTGTCCTCCAAGTTTGCATGACGGTCACACATGCCAACGGACTGTGATTTCACGTGTTCTGCTTCGTGGCCCCCTTCTTGGAGCCGAACAATAGCAGAACCCTCGGGTTTGTCCGTCAGATCCTGGAACCTGGTTCGCTTGGCGTCAAAGTCAGAGTTCTCAACGACGCTCTGAAGGAAGGCAGTTGCCTCTTCTTTGATCGATCGTTTGCTGCTAGCTTTGGACGAATCGCTCTCAGCAGAGCTTGGCTTCCTGTCATGAGATGCTAAGGAAACTCGAATAGGGTTGGAAGCCCGAACTTCCGCGGAGCCTGAAGTCTGTGCCTCAGAGGAACTGGAGATCTTTCTCAGAAGCTTTTGACGAACGACCTCTAAAAGTTCTGCATCGCCTTGAACGGGGTCATGACAGGTATAATTGACCTGGGCTTGGTCGGAATATGCATGCTCAATCGGGAGAGCCGCCCCATGAATGTCCCTCTGGCTATAATGGTAGTCTTGAGCCTCCAGCGACCCATAAGTCGACTGATCATATCCATTGTTGATGCCGCCATGGGGCAGCTCGATGTACGACTCCGGCATGTACTGGTGATCGGCGACGGAGCATTGATCGTAGGAGTCGACGCGAGTGTTGTGGGGGGTCGTGCACGCTTCTGCAGGCCAGGTAGCATGTTCAGATTGGAGGAAGTTCTGAGGTTTGAAAAAAAGCCCGTCCGATACGCTGCGATAATCGTGGCGGAGACACTGAAGATAGGAAGAATCATAGCCGTCGCAGTAGCTTAGGGGGTTCTGCTGAATATGACCGTCAGTGTTTTCATACCAGGGGTGTTCTTTCGCCTCATATGTGTGTGTCGGATAGTACGCTTCCGAACGAATACGGGAGCGTTGCAATATTTCAGTTTGTTGACCGTTGTGGTGACCCTCATCAATATAAGAGCGGTGCATCGTGGCAAGGGTAGGACGAGGCTTGCATTGTGCGACAACAACGGTTTCGGTGTCAGTTGAGATCTCTTTGACATCGTGGATCTGTCGACTACCAATCTGCAGGGGCTTCAGTGGCTTTGTGACCTTGCCACGCAAGCTTGCTCTGTTCCAGAGCTCACTCAATGCAACCGGTCGAGAGGAAGCGATGTCATCGAGACTGCGCAGCTCATGCTGCACGTCCATGTTCGTGTCTGCTGCAGTAGCAGCTCTTGCTAGGACCGGCTTACTCTGATGAGTGCGAGACAGTATCTGACTTATCATGGTTGGCTTGCTGTGAGAGCTTCCGACTAGAAGCTGTGGAACACACGTCGCGAGGATGTTGGTGTTCGGCTTGGGAAGATAGAGACAGCGCTCGACAATGCTTCGTGCTCTGGGGAAAGCTATGAGAAGAGTGAGAGGCTGGCCGAAACGAGATTCAAACAATCGTAATGCTTGAAGGTCAAGAATGATATGCGTAGAATGGATGTGTTTTGGTATAAGAGAAGGGTTCGATGAGAGGACTGAGAAATGTAAACTCGGTGGCTGATGCAGACAGTTTGTGTTGCTGCAGAAGAGACAAAATACAAGAAGCCTCAACATGGGGCCTTCGAACAGGGACTTCAGATGGTGCCGAGACCAAGGCGTAATGTGCTCTGCTTGAAGCTCTAGTCACTTTCTTGACCCGCTCACCTGTGATGGACTTGGTAGAAGATGCAAAGATTGTGATGTTTGTAGTGGGAAGTGAGAGGTCTCCTCCAGAAGGAATCACCCATGAGTTTCCTGTTTGTTTTATTTGTTGTCATATGTTCACCTGGAGGAGAAAGTGCTCTCACCAGTAAGCCAGGACATATCAAAGCCTCGACCGATGGCTCTGCGGACGCCTCAGCTCAGTATTTCAGTAAATTCACAGCGACTGTCCTTTCTTTTGAACACAACTTATTCAATTAAGTGCTACTTTTTGTACATGCAGAAGGCTGAGTCGCGTCCATGTCCGCTGGAAGATCTGGAGGGATGCAGTAGTTTCAGATTCCTCCATAAGGCAGAATGCCAGAAAGGTATCTGATCATGATCGATATTACAGTTCCCGTAAGAAGCATATTGAATGATAATCAGGCCGTCCTATCCATGTCTTGCCAGAGGGAGGTACCAGGGTTATCTTTCAGGCTGTTATGAGCAGTCCCGGGGGCCGGAGAATTCTTCCAGTAACCAAAAACAGGTCAAGAGAAGATATTGCATAGCATATATAATTGAAATTAATCTAAAATCGCAAGCTAGCTACCTGTATGCCACTGTTTTTGCGATGAGAGATGCAGAACGTAAGACAATCGACGTTGTTGTTGAAGAAACCATGGAGGAGGAAGACCAACAAAGCAGGAGGGATAGACATCACATATAGGCATACCCTTACATATACTCATAGTTTTGGTTTCATCTGATGGTACTGAAGAATTTGAGTTTATGCGAATATTTCAATGAGCCGCAGACATCCTCCATATTAATCACTGTTTCACGGCCAGGTTATTGTCGATCTCATGAGGGACGCCGTGACCTTAGAGACGATTCGATTCATGTTGACTATGCGTACCGTTAGTTTGACAGGACGAGTCAAGGGCACGCCTAGAATATCATCAACCTTGGTTCCATGCCTTAGCCTCTGCGACCTTCGTAATCATTTGAAGCGGTTGCATAATTCTCAGTGCTAGAATTCGACCCATGCGTGCCGCGCGAACCTCGATGACTCTCGGCACTAGGAGGATACTGGTCGTTCCTGTCTCGGCCGTCGCCGCCAATGTTCGGTCTACTGTTTCCAGAACCAGGAAGAGCATCGTGAACAGCAGACCCGAAATCGTTACTGGTTGAGCTATCATTGTATTTACGCTTGCCTACAAACAAGTCAGACCAGGTGCCACAACACATGTTCAGTCAGTCATCTACTTACCCCCGTCATCGTAGTGAGTGGTCTCGTTGGGATCATTGAAACGCCCGCTCATGACCTCTTTGACTTTCTGGAAGATATTGGACATGTTGACGATTTTCTGCAACTGAGATTGAATCAATTTGATGGTTTTCTGCCACTTGGACGTCTAATTGAGCGATGTCTGGCTCACTATATAAGGAGCCGAACATTCTCCCGCCACCAGGCAACCGTGACGATATAGGACCAATCGTTCCCAGAACTTAGAGTCTATCATCACAGGGTTTGTTGGACCAAATGTCGTTCTCCGTCCTGTTTGGCTCGTTGCGCTTAGGAATCGACCGTAAAGGTGATGGGATCAGTCTTGTGTCATCCAACGTCATTTGAACCAAAGATGCTGTACGAAGAGTCGTGGTAGAGAAATAGTGATGACACAACAGTGAGCCTCACGGGCCTATTTGGAGCTAAAATTTATTCTGTTCTTTACCTGAGCTATCATGGTTATGTTTTGGCGGGAGTTATCCATCAACACGGATCACTGTTCTTGGTGTTTATCAGTACTTCTTGACAGCCACTAAGAAGACATGGTTCTGGGTTCATTGGAATTAAAGCAGGGTAGATAGAGCAAGTAGAACAGAACAAAAGATCAAAGAATATGACTTGACTGAGTCGATTTTCGCTTATTTGACTAGTCTTTTCGACTCTCTTGTGACTTGTGACTGTGAGTAGTTCGTCGATCAGCCTTTAAATTGCAAAGAAATACGGAGTAATTAAGACTAATTTAAGAAGCAACTGGGCTGCTGAAGGTGGGGCGGATTGTATAGCATGATTTGTGGGGACTGTGGTAAATGCATTACAAAATATAGAGAAGGCATGCGGCAGATACCTCCATCATTGAACCACTACTGCTGATTTTGAATGTTCGTGTATATAGTGCTCTCATGCTTTTACGACCTCTAGAGTAAGGTAATCATCATAGAAAGGGGCTATTCTCACTTGATGCTGTGTCTCTCTACATGTAATACCAATACGTACATACAATACAATGATACCGCCGCCGAAACAGAATGTTCGTTGCCTGATGGATCGCCGCCTCAGTCCCGCATAACCCGTGACTCCGAGGCTGTGCTGTGACTGCCTGAGGCCGTGACGTTTTCTAGCTGCTCTTCCCACTTATTATTGCGTGTTCTACTGTTGTTTCTCTGACGGAGTGACGCTCCATGTGGTGTGGTGGTCTTCTCCTCCTTCTCCTTCTCTTCAACAGTCCATCCTGCCGTTTCTCTTTCCTCATCTTCTCTGTTTCTGAGTTATTTTCTTCTGTTTCTCTCTGTCTCTATAGCGTTTCCGTCAAATCCCTGCCCTTACGTCCGCTTTGTGATTATCCTCGATGAGCTCCGGCTCTATCCCCCTTGATCGACCTTGTGATTGGTCATAAAACAGCAGCCTACAAGAGGACATCTGCACTTGAATCACGATTTTTGATCAATTTCAGTCTCCCTGGCAGGACCATACCTGGATTTCTTGTCCTCAAAAATCATCAACCATGCGACCGCCACGCCTAATATCTATTGTCTTCTGTATCATCTTCTTCCCGATCTTCCTTACCCTGTTTTCGGCTCTTTCGTCATCTCCTCGCGTGGCTGACCCCAGTTCGCTCGCTGGTCAAACGACTGGATATCGCGCTCTCTTCTCCTTCAATATACCCTCCTCGCTTTTCCCGCCATCCGCTATTATCAGCCTTACCGATGACAACTCGACTTTTTTCCTGGCCAGACCTGCAGCATTTGGCCCTCTACTTTCTGATAAGGGACTGAGTGGCCCACTCTGGGTGGGCAGTGGTTTTGGGGAGAAAACTAGTGGTGGCGCGGAAGGAGAGTTAGGCTGTTCGGATATCCCAGGATGGGGGGATGGTGACAGCCGTCGCAGTCCGGATAAGTCAACGGTAGCTGCAGACAAGACCTCTTCATCTGGTATCAAGGATGGTCTTGCGGCTTCTCTAGGCCAACGTCGGGCTGAATCCCAGCAAGAATCAGAATTAGAACATCTTGCAGCTGGCGGAGCCCCTCCGCCCTCCACGAATGACGGCACCGATGACCATCTGCATCATCCTTTACCTGATTCGGCCGTGGTAGACGCAGGTGCGCCGGAAAGGCCCGGAGAACGCCAAAATAAGCCAGCTGCTCATGCAGATATACAGTCCTTGCAGGAAAGCGCCGAGATAAATGGCAAAGTCGTGTTGTTAAGCAGAGGCGGCTGTGGTTTCCTAGAAAAGGTCAAATGGGCTCAACGACGTGGAGCGATTGCTGTGATTGTTGGTGACGATACGCGAGGGGGAAGTCTCGTGACCATGTATGCCCGTGGGGACACGTCCAATGTGACTATACCCGCCGTATTCACGTCTTACACGACAGCACACTTGCTGTCCTCTCTGATGCCTCCGCAGGTCGGAGCAGATCTAAGCTTGGACGAAAAAACCGGGTCTACTCGCACTTTACTCTCCAGCGGTTCGGACAAGCAGCGTGTGAGTTTCACAACAACCACATCAGTCACCCCGTCTTCCGCCCCCACGCCCCAGGCTACGGTGGACGAGTCGCTTCAAACTGCCTCAAAACCGAAGACCGGAGTTTTCCACTCTCTTCTGTCACTACTAGGTTTGGGTAGTAGCAACAATGGACGCGCCTGGCAAAATTCGGAAGACAATCGACGACCACCTAACAGCGGAAACATTGACTGGGTTCTGTTGGGCGATCAGCAACAATCGAATAAAGCTGCACACGACAGTGCTGCTGATGATCGCAAAAAGTCCGAAAGCACGTCGAGCCTTGCCGACGGCGATGGCTTTATCATTGGTGTGCAGGACTGGCGAGATCCTGACCTTGTAGCTCCCAGAAGCACCCCTCTTCCGTCGCCGAGTAGCGTTGCAAACTCGGCTAAGACCGAGTCGGTCAAAAATGCGAAAAGCTCGGAGAAGACTTCTAGTTCACCCAAGGGCGGTAGCATCACTCCAGGAAGTGGTGAATATCGGAGCATCGATAAATCTAGCGACAGCAAATATTCCCATTCGCGTGATGACTCTTCAGTGGATTCTCGTGAAAGCCCCGCATCAGACAAGGGTTGGTTTTTCAAACGTTTCTTTGCGCCTCGAAGCACAGAAGATGGTCAGTTGGATAAACCAGCAAACAGAATGATGCGGAGGAATACCGGTCAAAATGCCAAGGTTACCGAACATGAGGGTCTGTGGGTTACATTGACACCCACAAGCATGTCTACAAGCCCCTTCTTCGATACCCTCCTTGTTCTAGTTGTCAGTCCTTTACTCACCTTGACGGTCGTGTATGCTCTGTTATTGATTCGGTCTCGCATCCGTCGGAGGCGTTGGCGGGCTCCAAAGTCCATTGTGGATCGCCTTCCGGTGAGAACCTACCACACAATCACAACGCCTTCGTCCGCAGCAAGCTCCTCTCGATCTCCCAGTCCTGGACCAGTCTCGCCAAGTTCCCCTTTGCTAGGCTCTCGGAGTCGCTCGGAGCAGGTCCAGTCACACTCTTCGTCCGTGCGCAGCAGTCCGGCGGAAGCGAAGAAGACCCCGAAGGTGGACTCGGCAAAGGGCGAGAAGTCCGGTTCGACCTCTGTTTGGCGCCGCAAGTACACTGGACGGCAGGTGGAATGCGTTGTATGTCTTGAAGAATACATAGATGGGCAAAGCAGAGTGATGAGCCTACCCTGCGGCCATGAGTTCCATGCGGAGTGCATGTAAGTCGCCCTTTATGATAGTTTTGTATCTCTACAGTCGGCTAACTTAGGCGCAGAACTCCATGGCTGACGACCCGTCGGCGGACTTGCCCGATCTGTAAGGGAGACGTTGTTCGCTCCATGGCTCAAAACACAACTGCGGAAACACGCGACTCGTCTCAGCGTATGGCCGACGGTGATGGTGGCCGTGGCTTCGAATCCCATCGAAGTGTTTCATCTGCCCCTATGCTCATTACGAACTCGAGTGAGGAGGAGACACCCGACCCTGAACACCCCCGAGGCTCAGATTTGGGGGTACAAGAAGGTCATGCATCCTCTGCTCCTCCATCTTCCAGTTGGAGGAATTTGGCAACGCTTAGCCTTTCAGCCTTAAGTGGCGACACCATATGGCATCAGACTCGGGCAGATAACGACCGATGAAGAGGGGGCAGCCCTATCATCTGCTTTTCTTCTACTCTAGCGTCTTTGCCCATCACGATATTCCCTTCACTTTGAGACACTTGGGATGTACTGCATTAGCGAACCTTTGGGATTGAGTAATAAGCTTGGCTAGGCGTTGGGGGCGTTGTCTACTTGGAGTGCAGGCACGGTCCATGACAACTAACACAATTGGCTAGGCAGGGTGACTGGACGGATTCTTATCAAACCATGATTATTATCTGTATACGCAGGCTTTTGCATTATAGATAATTTAGCTACAAGTCAAAATTAGTCTGACGCACTTTACCATTATGATCAGGAAATCTACACCCCTTAGTCGGCTTGATACCACATGACGTCATCGCTGCGTCCATGCTGATCATTTGTTTCAACGGCAACACTCTTCAATCCAACTTCATCCAGACTCGTTCCACAATTTCTACTCCATATTGAGGTCAAAGTTGCCAATCGCACTGATAGTCTCAATAAACAATGGCAGACAAAATGAAAGACGCCCTCCATGAAGAGGCAAACAATTTCAAAGCCGTGGCCCACGACGTCGCCGTCTCAGGCGCGTATCTCTATCCGGTGAAGGTGAGCCCAGAAGCCCAACAGCACTCTGGAGATCTACTGATCTGACATATGATGCAGGGAATTCTCTACTTCTCGTACCACAAAGACCTCTGGCGCCCCTTCCTCTCTCGCGCCGTCCAGACCATCGGTCTCGGCCTCGGCGTCACAACCGCCATGTTCTTCTTCACCTACGTCCCGCAAGCAGCCATCATGACCTTCACCAGCGGCCCGCTGGCCCCGATCTCCGCCGCCCTGCTCGTGCTCAGCGAAAGCTCGACCATCACCAATTTTCTCGCGCGCTCGTTTGTCCTCGCTGACGCGCTGACGGATACCTTTGACGGGACGCTCGTCACACGCGGACACACGGAGCTGGTCGCGCACGGGCGCCAGATCAAGGGCCCCGGCGGCGGAGCGGTGTCGAGACTGGGGAAGATGCTGAACCGGCCGCTGGAGCGGATGAGGCCGTCGGCGCTGGTGAGATCGTTGATGCTCCTGCCGTTGAATTTCATTCCGGTTGTGGGGACGCTGTTGTATGTGTATATGCAAGGGAAGAAGATTGGGCCGGTGGCGCATTCGAGGTATTTCCAGTTGAAGGGGTGGGATGAGCGGAGGAGGGAGGAGTGGGTGAGGAGGAATCGGGGAGGGTATACTGGGTATGATTCACCCTGAGTTTTGGGCTGCGCTTGTGGGTTACTGACTGAGAGTAGACTCGGGGTGGCTGCGTTTCTGTTCGAGATGGTTCCGTTTGCCTCGCTGGTTTTCTCGTTTACGAATACGGTTGGTGCGGCGCTGTGGGCTGCGGATTTGGAGAAGACGATGCAGTAGGATTGGGATAAGATGACTTGATACTGTGTTGGTACACGGTGACTAGCACAAAGCGAGGGCTACGAAGGTAGCGCCAATCGCATCTATCAGGTACAGTATAAGTGACCTCGAACTATTGATTTGCAAGCCACTCTTTGGGACTTCTGTAGCATCTCAACTTCCCACCCACGCAGTACCTTGGATTTAATAGCACCAACGTACTGTCATGCAGCTTTGGGGAGACACTCCTGCATGGCATCTTCGGCTTCAGTCAAGTGATCATTTACCTCATCGAGATGAACTGGTTTGGTACAACTGCCTTTAGAACATTTATATACGATTTGATTCTCCCGGGAACGGATTCCGGTAGGGCAATGGGTGAAATGGACGAAAGTTAATGTCGGTCTCTGTCGTGGCAGATTTATCCAATCAATTGTCCACCCTAGCAATCCTCCTGCGGGATCGACATAGACCGAAGAAATGAAGACCGGTCAGAAAGCTCATTTCACACTGGTGAACGCTACCAGCCCTACCCCCTGCGTTGTAACCCCTAACCCACCCCGAGTCTCGACCTCAGCCTCTTCGTAGAAAAACTGGCCAAGAGGCACCTTGTCAGCCGGACTGGCCAGGAATGAGTGAAGTGCGCTGATAGCGTCCAGAACCACAGCGTCGGCAAGAGAGTCGACCGTACGATCGTCCACACTGAACAGCTGACCTCCTTCCATGGCCGTTCCACAGCGACGACAATTTCTCCAATTTCCCGGTCATGAAGCCGAGTGCGTACTGGATGAAGAGGCACTCTCATCACTGCCATTTGAACTAGAAGACCGCTATCTTGCCGGGGTCAACACCGACGTCGAGAAAGGAAGTCCAAGGGGATAGATGCTATATTGAGAGGTATGTCTGGGAACTCTGTTGAGTCCAATGCATGTGAGGTTGAGCATGGACCTTCAGCGACTGCAGACGCAGCAGATCTCCGCGATGCACAGATCATCTTATCTTAGGTTCAAAGCTGCAGCGGAAACTACAGATGCATATTAGGCAAACGACGCTCGGTTAGCGGATATTTGTGCCGCTGTGGACGCCAGCAACAAGCAATATCAGAAGCGTGGTGGAAACCAGCCAATGACTGTAATCTTTGTTTGGACTTTAGACTTTAGACTGGTCAGCAACTCCCCACAGCGGGAGGGACCAGGACGATACTAAGGTACTTTAGTGTAACTGTGTAAGCCGGGAGCGACTCCACCTTCACTCCTCCAACTTGTGCAAATCTTCCCATGTATCCAGTCAATCAACCCATCTGATTCCCCATCTCGCCTTTTCGTGCATCTTTATTCAGTCCCATTGATCGGCCGCATTGATGAGATAGGGAGTCTGAGGCAACTCAAACACAACATTCCTACGATACAGACTCCTAAGTCACATGCTGGTCGTCTACGCAGGTTTTAGATCAAGGAAGTATTGAGAGAAGCGCAGCCTCATTGTTGAATCAGCGATCTACTATACAAAGGACCGAAACAACACACATCTATCGCTCATGTCTGCGTCTTTCGCGGGCGGCCTGACGGAGCCTCTCCTCAATAAGTCGTGCTTCTAAGGCAGCGCGCTCCTCCTCGGCTCGAAAACGCTCTGCGCGTGCCCTCAGCCCCCGTATGCGCAACTCGTCACGTTGACGTTCCAGGGCTTGGACATCCTCCGCCTCATTGTAAGGTGCCGCTGTCATTGCAAGATCGCGCCGAGGGCTATGGCGATCCCGGTATCCACGCTCGGGGGACAAATTTGAGTGCTCCGGGTAGCGCGATTGTTCACGTTCCCGATACGGTTGGAGGGCGAACTTGACATTTTCGCGAGGGTCCGATCCGGGGTATGGGGTCCCTTGGTCCTGGAAGTCCTCCATTTCCACGTCTTCGTCGGCGGCCTCTACTTCATCTTGTCGCGGCGCTGCAGACAACCCAGGCAGTGGTGGCCGTGGCGGCAGTGGCTGAAGCGCTTGTCTGTACGAAGCGCACTGGGGTAACGAGACCCGCGGTCTGGGGACCGAAAGGGTGGCCGTTTGCGATTGTACCCCCGCCGTGGCTGCAACAGCCGGTGTCGCTACTCTCATGGATGGACGCGGGATGTCTCGATCATGCGCCTTGTAGATCATCTCGGTGTCTCGGGGGGGATCCAGTTCTTCCACAGTATCTGCACCGTGCCAAGTCAGAGTATGACGCTTCCAAGTGACGTCCCGGAGCAGATCCAAGAGGAACTTGTTCCTCCTGCCGGTGGATTTACGAATATCCTCGATCGCTTCAGAATTCCAGGTGTCCAAGTTTCCAATGATGATCAGAACCTTTTGCGCCCGGCTGAGAGCGACATTCAGTCGGTTTCTGTCCCCGACAAAGCCAACGCTCCTCACATCCCTAGACGGTTTCGTCATCAGGAAGACCACAACGGGAGACTCGGATCCTTGGGCCCCATCGACAGTCACATTCTCATTGAAGCCGATGTTGTATTTTCCAAGAACTTTGTCCACCAGTGCCCTCTGGTCCCTGTATGGACTGATGATCATGACGTCCTTGGCCTCGATCTTGTCTCCTTGGGGCGTTTCGAACTGGTACAGCTGAGGCAAGAGATGACGCAGAACTTCCACCTGTGGCCGGTTATACAAGGACAGGCTGTTCTGGTGGCGATCAGCATGACCGTCCGTACTTATGAACAGACGGCGAAGCCCTGCGACACCGAATCTCCGAAAGTAATGCTGGGACGAGGTGAAGGCATCCCATGCATTGCCTACACGGTCTGGAGCGTCGTTGGAGCGTCCAACTTGCAAAGCGCCCCCATACACGTGCTGGTTCCACAAATCGAGAATTGCGCTGTGATTCCGATAGTTTGTGGTGAGCATCGTGCATGGATATCCCGCTTGATGAAGTCGTGTCATGAGGGACCGTTTGAGATATTTGGCCCCCTCGTTGCAGTCATTCTCCGAAATGACTGTTGGCGGCAACTGATCGGGATCTCCGATGAGAACCACCGCCTTAACCGACGACATCGTCAAGGCGATACAGTGGTCACCCTCGAGGCACTGCCCGGCCTCGTCGCTGATCACGAAATCGGGGTTGAAGCCCGAGTTGCGAAGCAGTTCCTGGGAAGCATTGCTCAAAGTAGTAGCCACGACTTTGCAATTCGCGAGGACGCTCGAGGCGCAGTTCTCATAGGAGTTGCGCAGCTTCTTCGACTGATCTCTGCTCAAATGGCACTCCTTATCCCTCCTGACCATATCAAGGAAGTCTCCACAGTGACGCGTCTCTGCATTCTCCTTGGCGAAGCGCTGGACAACATTGTAAATCTGCACTGGCTCGAGGATCTGGCTTGCCGAGCTCCCTTTTCTTGACGCTCCCAGCCTGACTCGATCAGGGTTTGCGCTGTCAATTCTGACTTGTGCAAGCTGGTAGGCTGGAGTTCGGAAGCGAATAAATTGGCCGCACCACTGCTGAAGTTGAGGGTGTTTATTCAGAGTCGCAACAACAGCCTCCGCAAGATTGTCGACGCCCTTATTTGAGCCAGCGACAAGTAGGACCTTCAGATCCAATGCCATAAGCAAGAGGATGATGACCATGGCAGTTCTTGTTTTTCCTGTTCCAGGTGGCCCTTGTATGAGGTTGACGCCACAGGTGATCTCAAACGTTGACTTTAAGAAGGCTTGATGCTGAGCCTCATCCAGGGGGAAATTTTTCATAATATAGGAGATCCTCTCGTCCTGCTGCTCTGGAGGAACCTCTGACATTTTGCGGGCGTCAAGAAGGAAATAGAAATCGCTGGCAGGGTCTAATTCAACACCATGGGCAAGTACTGTCCTCTCCAACGAGTATCCCTTCTTTTCTTTGCCATCCAGCTCTCCCCAGGAACGGAAGTGGCTCACATCCCAAAGCGCCTTGATCTGCTCATCAATTGGCATGGTGTTTGGCTTGACGAACGTGACAATCTCAAATTCACCACGATGCTGGGGAATGCTGCCCTTCACGAGAAGAACAAGATCGCCGGTGCTGTCTGTCTCAACAACAAGCCCTTTCTGGTTGAGATCGGTCTTGAGGTATGTCCGGCCCTTTTCAGCTACCTCGTACTGAACCTCAGTCATCTCGGCCAGCTGAGGAACATTCACCTCCGTTTCACCATCTTCCGCTTGGAGCTTGATGTGGACAAAGAAACTGTGTCGCAATGTATCTGTTTGCGCCGGAGCGTACCATGCTCGGTGGCGGCGAGATGGATTAAAGATTTTCGCAACCAACTGATACTGCGTATCTTTCTCGATCCTGGACGCCTCGATCAACCTGCATCGTCGGTTGTGGTCATCAATGAAGAATGGATCATGGGGATCCAGTTGAGTGTATTGCCTCTTTGAAGGGTCCTGCTCTTTTGTGAAGAGCCATGGCATTGGTGGACTGCGGCCCTCTCCGTCTTTAGGAGGATTCCGTCGATACCACCAGAATGCTTTTCCAGGTGCATCCCCACAATCTTTTACACAGAGGTCACTCAGCACTGTCAGCCATTGAATTGTGTCTGGCACAGTTTTGAATTTCGGCTCGAATCTCTGGAAAATGAAGATGCCTTCTTTTTCGACTGTCACCCAGGGGAAGGTCTCAATTTTGTTCCAGTCAGGGTCGTCGCGAAACCATGATCCCGCTGTTTTCACGATTACGGGATTGGTGTAACACCAGATGCTGAAATAATACACCTGAGGCCAATCTTCGAAGCATTCGGGGAATCGCTGCCTTAATTGTTGGATCTCCGCCCTGGTGCCATCGCCTGTTGCACCCTCAATTCCCGGTTGCAGAAAGCAGTATTGAAGCGGGATAACTAAACGCCATCCGTGTTCTTGTGTTGTCGTGCGGATGACAAATCGGGGTTGCTGGGAGTCAAGTATGACTTGAACTTTGGCTTCGAACCAACCCGCGGTGGAAGCAATGCGGCACGTGCGCCATTTCGAACAATCTTTATAGAGTGTTAGGGGATAGTCTTTCCCTTGTGGCTGCTGGAACCAGCTTTCGCCGAAAGTCGATCTGTTTGTCATTGTTGCGGCTTTGCGAGCACCTACCGGTGGCATTCGAAGTTAGAACACCCAGCATTGAATGATGAGATTGACATCAAAGCTTACCGAGGAGTATATGATTGAAGTTGGGATGTTGATCGATTCGAGACTTTCGAGTATTGACGGCTCACTAATCGAAGTGAGCTACACGCTTTACAGGACACGCCCGAATAGCTACTTACCGTTGAGTCCAGTAGGAACACGTAGGGAATACGATTCGAAATCGGGAAAACCGTACCCTCTAAGAGAGACGGCACTAGAAAAATGTCAGTCAGCAGCCAAGATGCATCAATCAGGGCAACATACAAAGGTAAAGTTATGAGAAAACCGAAACCCTCTAAGAGAGTCGGCACTTGAAAAATGTCAGTCAGAGGACCTCTTAATCACTCATTGGGTTAACGTACCAAAGTTAGAGAAAAACTGAACCCTCTGTGAGAGCCAGCTAAATGTTCGTCAGTCAGGATTTTCAAAGCTTTGATCGGTTAAACTCACCAAGGTGAAAACTCAGGAAAACCGAACCCTCTGTGAGAGCCGGACTATCGACACATCAGCCATGCATGCGAGAAACGAGAGATGGAGCTACTCACTTTGTTCTTACAGCTGACGCGACACCAGACCTTCTATGAGGGCCGGCTGCTCTCAGCATAACCTGTCTAAACTAGGTATCTTACTTACCAACTGCGCTGGCAAGCCGAAAAAAGAAGGGGGGAAACCGAACTCTCTAGGGAAGCCGCTACAAAATTCTCCGTCAGATGCTCTGGGTGTTTTGCACTAGAAAGTCTGGATACTTACGCGAAAAAAACCAACACAGGAGAGTTTTCGAGCGGCAATTCGGGAGCTGAGGAAGGAAACGAACTAAACAAGAGGCCTGCTGAGGAAAAGAGCAGGAGTAGGAGCATGAAAAGGGCGGGACTAGGAGCATGAAAAGATCAGGAGGAGGGGAGGAGGAGAACACAAGCAGGAAGCAGAGTGGAAGATTTTGTCGTGCATGGGTTGCTGCCGTGCCACCTGATGCGATCATTTAGGGCTTAGGTCAAAACGCAGCACCTTTTACTTCGCCAGGCCAGCTGATCTGAGTTCCATAGAGAAACGATCAAACACCAAGATACGGATAGAGCGGCTCTATCATCATAAGACAAATATCTACTGAAAGATAGTATGCTTCAACAACGATGATACTCGCAGGCATGCCAGATTCCTCATCTGTCAACAACCGCCAACGGAATAAAGTTGACTTTCAGAGTCTAGTACTATGACCAGTTTCAATAATGCTTGAAGTCAGGCCCTGGACTGTACCCGAGACGATTCTAGCATGCAAGCTACAGTATCAATATGAATTCAAGAGAGAACCAATAATTTAAGATTTCGCGAAAGAGGTCGAAATCGAACTTGAATCAACCTAAGGGCTTTTCCTAGGATGATTCTATACCACTGCGCAGAATAGTGCAAGAAGCCTGCTAGAAAGGATATTACCTGAAGACATTGGATCTATGATGGATATGTAGTCTGCCAACTAAGGTGATTCCTTGGCAGCGGCGTCCGGGGTAGTTGCCCCACTTCAGTTAGCTAAGGAAGTCCATCCCCATAACTTGTCAAGCCTTCAAGAACAGAGCTCTTCCCACTCGATTGCTCACCAAGCACAACCAGCAGTGCATATGTTTCTGATGACCAGTTCTCGACTGCCCAGAGTTTGGTCGTTGGAGGGGTTGGGGTAATCTAAGCCATCCGATTACGTATCTTGTGATCTGCATGAGGCTAAGGCTTGCGTGCTTGAGATTATTGGTGATAGACTCCGTGGTCAACTAGAAATTGGGGTCATCTGTTTCTTAGGCGTATATGATAAGGGAAGGTATTCCTGGCTGTTTTAATGTCATGTTTCCTTTGAGAGTACAGCGGGTGGAAAGTTGGTAGGAACAGAAAGCCTTCTGGAGGCGAGATATGACAGCAAAGTTGGTTGGCCGACATTGGGGTCTAGGCCTGCCGACAACTGGATGCGCCCGCCTCTGATAGTGGTCATCACACCAGATTAAGGCGAGAACTGATGCCCCATATGCAATAATACCCTGATGGAGACAGTGAATGGAGTGAATCGGGACTGTTCTCCTTGAGATGATGCAATCTATTGTCACGAAATTCAGTGATGCTGCCAGGAGATCAAGTATATCCCTGCCAAGGTGACCTAGGGCTCCGATCCGATTCCTTTCTGTCCGCATCCCACTTCCTCTATTTGTTTGATTCATCTGCTAGTTTACCTCTCAATTCAGTGTTCATTTGGCTAAGGATGTCAGACTAGAAATCTTCTGACAAGGACCCTCGTCAATGGCACCACAGCCTTGAAGCAAAGCTATCAGGGCGGGACCATATTGGCTGGTTCATGTACTACGCCTAATTACAAGAACTCGCGATCTACAGCCAGGAACCCAGCAATCAGCAATCAAAAATCCACCCATCAGTTTCTGACTAGAGGTTGGCCGTTGATAGACGGAATTTCATAACTCCCGCATTGGTTTTGTGGGAATTTTCAATTTTGAGTCGCTTTCTATCCAGGAAGAGGGTTGTCCATACGACTCTAGAGTCTAGGATGAGAGATTCTGGCCTGCAAAAGAGTGTATATAACGGGTGACATAGAGGCCATTTATGAATCCAACTATTACTTGATAGGGTATGATCGACGAGAATGAATGGATACATGCAAAACCGGTTAATGCTCGCACAAGTTAAACTCCCCCCTCTCAAATTTAAGGTTCTGTTCCTGCGACTTGCTGGAGCGCTCCTCCATCAGTTCCTTGCGGTACTGCTTTGCCTCCTCCATGGTCATGGGAGTAGCTTTGAGACCCTCGTTGACCATATTCTGCAGCTCAGCTGGGAGTCTCTCGCTCAGCAACTTGCGGATAACCTCCTGCCGTTCCTTCCACCAGTCTTCCCGTTGAGGCGGCACATTCCCTGAAGAGATAATCGAGAGATGAGGGTCTACAAGGAACAAGGCGAGGATCTTGCGATGACCTGGCTTGGTCCGGTCCGCCAGCGCAAACGGCGACACCTGGTGCTGGAGGCTGTTCGGGAAGGTGAGCAAGCGTCCCTGACGAGTGTCAACACTACCCAGGACCTGAGTGATATTGCCCTCGTTGTAAGCCGACTCAGGATCCAAGCCAAAGATCGCCTGGAGAAATTCATGTCGTGATTGCTCGTAGGAGATCTCTGAGACGCTTTCTGTATCCGCCCGTTGTCGGAACGCGAGTCTGCTGTCAGTGATGTTCTTGCTGTCATAGTAGTAGATGGCTGTAGCGCAGATGTGCTCATTCTATGAAAGTTAATGTGTGGTCCAGCCATCCCGACAAAATAAAACATACCAGTTGTCCCTCAATGTGCCACGATCCACCGTCATACTCAGGCTTCTCTGGGGTGAGCTCGATGTTTGCCAGCTTGACAATCACCTGCAATCCATTCTGGGCAAAATCTTCGCGCAGATTGACCTGGCCCTCGGCCTCGATGACACGGGGGGAAAATTCGCCCGGTTCCGGGCGTCGGATGGGCTCTCGTTTTTGCCATTCGTCATATTGTTCATAAAATTCATCGCTATACCTTTCTTCCTCATTTGCCGCCTGGGGCTCGGGCTCGGGATGCTCGTCATATTCGACCTCATCATAGCGGATTCGCTTGTAATTATCCTGCACGAGGGTCAAGGTTGTGTTCCACAGTGGTATGGTCTGAGCCAGGATCTTCTCAATGACTTGGTACAGCGGCCGGTGCTGCTTTGGATGCAGGTTATTGATATACGACGCAATGCGACATTCGCCATTATCAGTAAAATGCACATCACAGGGAAGCCACTGGAATTTGCGGCTGTAGAGTTGATGGGTGGTGTTTCTGCTCTGCCAGTAGTGGTTGACAGTAATGGCGTCCTCTTCGGGGGGAACCGCAAGCACCTTGCCCTCCCCGATGCTATTCGCAAAGTCCTCAAGTCCAATCAGTTTCCTATGGAGAATGCGAGTCCGGCCGTAGACGACCGGAAATAGCGATGGATGGACCAGGTCAACCACCTTGTCATCCGACCCAGGATGGTAGTCTTTGAGCTCTTCGGGCACATCCTCCAGGGGCCGAACAGCAACTCTCAGCACTTGTCGCAAGTCTTCTGCAATGGCAGTATCGGACTTGACCACGCCAGCGTCGAATGCCACGATGTGCTTGGTGTCCCGGAAGACCTTGGCTTTCCACTGCGCCTCCTTGATGATCCAGTTCATCATGTTGGGAGTGACATCCTCTCCGCTGTCCATGATTTCCTTGCGCCATTTGGCAGTGATTTCTTCATCAAAGACCTACCTATAATGTCAGCGATGCGCATTCTAGGAAAAAAAGCAAACGCACCTTTTTCTCCCAATCAGGCTTGTCGGTGATGGAGTTGAGTGCTCGCATCATCAAGATCTCTCGATGAGTATTCAAGCGTCTGCATTCTCAGCTTCTGAGCAATCAAATTCTCATATCAGCAAAGAACTTACTCAGCGAGGCTGCTCTCCAGTGCGTTAGGGAACATCTCATGACTCCAATTCAGGGGGACGGAGTAACCCGGTAAGTCGAAGCGCGTGTTTTCAGACTCCATTGTCATTGAGCGCAGTTGTATACGAGGAAGTGATCCGAGAAGCCTCAGTGAGAGGGCTCGGTGCATTCTGTGTTGATACTTATACGGAGAGCATGAGGGACCGCGACGCGTCGTGGGTTTAGGCAACCGGCTGTTGCCTTCGAATTCAGGCGGGGTTGAGTGATGCTGCCAGGAGATCAATTGTATTCCTACCGAAGTGACCTTAGACTAACCTCACGAATGACCCTGTCCCTGACTATACGAAACTACATCGACCTTCAAAGGCTATTATCAATAGTTGTGATCATTTGGATCTATCAGGCTACCATCGTTGAGTTTAATCACGTGTCAATCATGAACCCTGGCAATATTTTAGCCCTAATTCAAGATGAAGGTTTTGACATGTCGCAGTGACTCTGAAAAGCTAGGGTTTTGCTCGATAAGTATACATGTATTTAAGTCCTACCTCCCTCAGCAATTATACCAATGAAGGGCTGGTATATGTCGGACGTAAATATCGACATTCGTGCAAAAAGGTGTCATTTTTGAGGGCTGATGGCTTATATACTTCAAATGCAGATGGTTATTTGCAACCGCTGGAGAACAGAAGAAAGCACATCATCAATTATTAGCTCTCACTGCTACTCTGTACATATGAATATGAGCTACTGCGCCTACTTTATAATTCTGACAGGAATCTGCAGTAAAGTCGATCGTATCCAAGGTTGAGTGTGTCACTGGAAGGGCGTCTGGTAATGACTCTAATGAGTCACCCCATCACTGGTACCGAGGTAGGATAAATTATCTTGTCATCTTCTCTCGCCCCGATCTGAGTGCTTTCCTGATATTTCAAATCATTATTATCCTAAATAGATCAGAAGCAGAAGTCAAGCAATGGCCGCAAATCAAGAACAAGCAGACTATCACCTCATTGGGACCTTCACCCGATATTCAAGTACGCCGTCACGCGTCTCCAGTGGTACAGCCAATTGCTAACCTCATCATTTCAGGCTGGACTGCTCGCATCGAAACAGTCTTGGAGTATTTTCAAATTCCATATACCGAGCAAAAAATCAGACTTGACGATGTCCGTTGACCCGTTCCTTTGAACATCCAAATACTAACCAGCACCAGGTCCGCAAAGTCTCCCCCTCGGGACTCGTCCCCCTGCTCGAATGCCGTTCTTTGAGCTCAACCCTGCGCATCAATGACTCGCTCGCCATCTGTGAGTTTCTCGCAGAGTCAAACCCCCATCTCAGCCTGTGGCCGCGGGACCGCCTCCTCAGAGCCATGGCGCGCAGTGCCGCGGCCGAAATGCACTCTGGTTTCGCGACGCTGCGAAACACATACCACACGAACTTCCTGGCACGGTATATCGGGAATATCCCCGTGTCTGAGGCCGCGAGGAAAGATATTCAGCGTCTGTTTACAATCTGGGAGAATGCGCGCCAGGCGACGAAGACACGGCTGGCTGAGCGGGGTGAGAAGGATGAGGGGTTTTTGTTCGGGGGGTTTAGCATTGCGGATGCGTTCTTTTGGCCGGTGCTCTGGGTATGTTTGAACTTCGCTTGTTTGGTAACAGTGGCTAAATTATGGCTCGAACAGCGCTTCCGCACGTACAATCTCCCTCTCGAGGGTGCCAGCGCTGATGTGTTGAAGTGGATGGAGACGATGTGGAATCATCCAGCCATGCAGAAGTTGGCGCACAGCTATTATCGTCAGGCGGAACGACCAGAGACTCATATGGAGCGTTACGAGAATATCTTCCGTGATTGTGAAGATATTCAGTATGGAAGGTTTCCGGAGGATTGGAAGTTTACTGTCCCTGGAAGGTCGTAGACGACCAAACCATTGTTCTCTTTTCTTGCAACACAGGATTGGTCTGGCTGATCCAGAACCGTTCGTCATGACATAAAGAAAGGGTTATGTATATATTCCTGCTCATCATCTACTACCCTGAGACAGCAGGACATTCTTGAATATGGTATAATTCGATTCCCCCTTTGTATCCAGCACCGCAAAGACAATCTCCTCGAACACTCCATCCCACTCCGTCTCCTGTAGAACCTCCCTGTAAATGCTGGCAACCTCACACGGCGGATTCCTGAACGCGCCGCAGCCCATCGCCCCAAGCACACAATGCGAGATCCTGTTCTCAGCGAGAACCCGGAAAACCTGGCGCATCTTGTTCTTCAAAACCAACACATTATTTGAATTCGCTGAACACAATTTAGCCTCACCCCCTTCAACTCCCCGCCCTGAAACCCGGTAGAAGAAAAAGAACATACCAAAACGCCTCCCATCAGACGTCAACACCGGCCTCCTCAACGCCGCCAAACTCACCACCCCAACAAGAAACTTCTCCTCGTCCCGGTAGAACCGGCACCCACCCGCAACCTCATCCCGGAAGACAACCACACTCGGCGACCACACAGCCCCATACACCGGCAGCGGGTAATACTCCCGCTCAAGCGTCGCCGCCAACGTACTCCGCAGACAGAGCGCCTCCTCCTGCGCCAGCGCCCCGTTCAACCACCCTCCTCCGGGATTCCGCTCGCTCGCCATATTGAGAACACCCACCCTGGCTCTGCCGGATGTGCGCTGCAGGATATCCCGCGCGGCGGTGAAGCTGTCCTGGCCTGTGACGCTCAGCCGGGGTTTCCGGGCCGCGCTGTTGGGGATGGGTTTGATGGGTGGGAGGAGGTGAGGATGGGCGCGGGAGGCTCGCGAGGCGCCTGTTGTTGCTTTGATGACGTAGTCGGTTAGAGAGAGGGTTTCGGCGGCCAGGCGTTGGCGTTGCGTGTTGTTGGGGGGTTTCTGGTTGGACATTTTGCGTATGAGGTTGGTGGGGTTGTTTGTGCCGAGTTGGTTGTGTGGATTGTGCTTTTGTATCGAGCTTCGGAAGACTTATATGTCTTGACCCACGGGACTGAGAGAGATGACTCGAATGCAGAGTTTGTGGCGGTGCTGATGGATATCCAAGCGAAGTTAGCAGCTCAAGCTTCTATACGAGGTGTCATGACTAGTGAGTCAGGAGTGCAACGTGCCTCAGCAAGGCTGTATGCGCCTCGTATCGCGCAGATCCGACCAGGAACTGTCAGTCGAACCGAGGCCGAACCAGCTCAACCATTGAACGCGTCCTGCGATGTCTGCGCATCTGTCAGGCGAGCGTTGGTTTCACTGTTCCTACGGATGCTGCAAAGGTCGGCCGCAAGAGTGAAGTTTCCACAGGTTAGACCTTGCTAGCTCAACTCAGCCGCGGGGAGTACAATGTTGCAGTCGAGTTCATATTAGATCTCCATATACTGCCATGGATACATGAAATCATGACTGAAGCAATAAATGACAGAGGTCTCTTGGCGAAAGACAAACCGACACGGAGGAAAAGTGGTAACTGACCTCAAACATTGCAGGTTCGCTGTACATTATGAGCAGCTGTACACTGCTGGAAGGGATAACAAAGTTCAACAGACGTCAAGCATAAGATAAAAAAGACAACCGCCATATTGCTAATTTGCTGCAGCTCGACAGCCCTACGCCAGAAAATATGCATCTCAAATCACCCGAACTGAAAAGAAATCGAGCCCTTCAAGGAATCCATAACCCAAGGCGCCATATCTACTCGTGCGACATGCAATGCCGAGTTCAAGAGAGAAGGTAAAAGAGAAACTATGTCGTGTGAATCGTGTACCGGAGCTCGAGATGATGAGTCCATGCGCCTAGCAACTCACAAGGTTGATATGATTATCATTAAGCGCAGCGCAGGCAAGAATGGTACGATGTGGGTGGAAGGCAGTGCTTGCAATTGGGGAAGAGCGGTTGTGGTGCAGGAAGCTTGAATATGGTTCGAACGTGGACAGATAGGTTCCATCCATGTTGAATGTCTTGACCTCATGGCGATTCGTGCCCCTTTCATTCCATCAGTCAGTTGCAGAACTCGAGAGCATCCAGAAGCAAGAAGAAACACATACACCATGAAGACGGGAGCGTGCTCGTGAACACTCAACGTCCTGAGAGTATCTTTGGTGGCATAGATCGTGGAGATAGGGTCATCCATGCGGAGATCCCACAATCTGATCTCGCCATTCCGGCTGCCGGACACCAACTCCCTCAATCCACCCCGTTGCATGTGAACATTGGTGATCCATTGCTTGTGCTCACGCCAGACCTTCACCATCGAGGTTGTAGGCTTCAGACGCTGATCGAACACGCGGACTGCACCGTCGCCAAATCCAGCCACAAAGATGTTCCCCGCTACCTGGTCGGAAGTAAGGGAGGTAATGCAAGAGCCTGAGCGTGCAGGAATGTCCTGTCAACAACTGCGTCAGTCGTCACCCAGCAAGGTAGAGGTCAAGAGGAGCATACGTTGGTGCAGACTTCAGTGGCCGCGTTCCACACACGGATCACCTTCACATCTCCAGCAACCAGTGCTTTGCCTTGGCCTTGCTGCCAATCGAAGACCAGACCAGCATTTCTATTGCTTGGAATTAGTTCCGGCAAAGCACGGAAAGCCGTCACTATCTCCACCCCCTTCGCAGACTCGTAATTCCTGAATACTTTGAGCACCCCGTCGGAGGATCCCGTCATCAACAACGCTTGATCGTCCTCGTTGATGTAACGAATCTCGTTGATCCTCGAGCCCGGTGGGTTCCCATTGGAAAACCTATTGAGACGCTTGTGTCTCTGCCAGTCCCAGATTCTGACGGGTAAATAAAATTAGCATCAAGACACTAATTGCGCCAGCCTTACTTACGCGATCGTGTCCCGGTCATCCGCGACTGCGAGGTGATCCTCAAACTGATGGAAACACATCTTCAGGGGCTGACTGGTGTTAGTTAGAAGGGCCAGAGAATTATCCCAGCGACTGCTGCCTGCTTTTCCCTTGAGGGGCTGGGTTTCCGTGATGATCTTCTCGTTGCGGCTACGTCTCCAGAGGCGCTCGTTGTAGTCGGCGCTACCAGGTTCATCAGGCTCATTGGGCTTCATCTGGGGCTCACGGAAATACTGAAGAAGGGTAAGAAAATGTTCATAGATGTCGGTGTATTGTTCGCAAATCAAATGGAGAAGGCCTGGGATTACCTCTGTGGACCAATCAAGAAACCGACTCATAAGGGGTATCACTGGGGCCAGGGACGGGTCTCGGGGTTCGAAACCGCGCGAGGTAGGAATCGGAGCCTGCTGATAAGCTGCCGCGGGAGCAACCTGGTCATTGACTTCCGGGGGCCGGGTCCATTCGGGGGGAGCACGTCCTCGAGGGGTGACGGGCATGCGGCTTTTGGTGGGCGATGTTACGCTCTGCGACGATTGTTGATCGGTCTGGGAGGGTCCACCGAAGGCAAGATTCTTGAGTGAAGCGGCCACACTGGCTGTCCGTTTAATGCTCAATGACAAGTATCCTTCCTGTTTGGGAGTAGCCGTCTGGGAGGGGGGAGCTGGTGGAGGTGCGGCTTTTTTCGATTCCGCTCTTTCGCGAACCTGCATTTTCTGGGTCAACCGGCCAGTGAGTTCCATAATTTCCTTTCGGACCTTGTCAGTAAGCGACGCCATGGGAGATGCTAGAAGAGTGAGGTGGACGAAGTCAATGATCGTGCTAGCGTCTTGCGCAATATCAGGATGCGGGTCAACAGAGAGTATAAGAAGTTGTTTCCAGATCGTGCCGAAAGTGGTATTCTGAGACAGTTTCTGTGATTTGTTACTGGAATTGGCAGGTCCATTCTGGGCTTCTTCCAGCGTGAAGCCTCGATAGCCATCGTGCTCTAGCCGAAGGAGAAGGGTTTGCTTTTCGTCCTGGAACTCTTCATATGCAGCGACCAGAAATTTGTTCTGGTAGCGTTTGACAAAGGTCGAGAAGAAGACAAGGAGCTCCTTTCTCACCAGGACACTGCCGTCTGATGCCATGGGCAGCACAGCCAAAGCCAGAGATTCTTCGATCTGCGCAACCTGATCTGTCAAATCAGGGATGCCCAAGAACGTGGTCGCTGCATGGAGCATTGCTGCCCTGACCTCCGGAACGGGGTCGAAATTGAGCTCGCAAAGTCTTGCGGGTACAGCACACCGGATTCCCATCCACTTGGCCTCAGGAAAGTCGGACCAGAGCATGCTGATGCAGAGACATGACCATTGTCGGAGTAAAGGATTTTCCACATCGGTCAAATGCTTCAGACAAGAGTCAAAAAGCTCGCCAGAAAGGCACACATTCTGTCCCTGAGGATAGTTCTTACAGAATATCGAAACAATGAAAGCGCACATTGCTCGGTGCTCGCTGGCGTTACCCACCGGAATGGGTGAGGAAGGGTTGAGGATAGAGATGAAATAATGGATCCCGTTGTCCTTCAACAAATCATTCTGAACAGTGTGATCCACTGCCATAATCCGCGCCCAAATGAACACCATGACAGGTTTCAACTCCTGGGCTGCTGACTGTAGCAGTTTGACGACATACGGGAAGATACCGATGCTCAAAGCGAGATGAACAGCCCACGGACCCAAGTCGAGGAACTTACTCAACAGGATGAGGGCCCTTAGCCGATGTGCCTGACTAAGTAGAACTTGCAGAACGATGGGGAGTTGATCCGGCGGGTTCTTCTCGGTTGGCCCAGATGAGAGGTAGACCTCGAAAGCAGTGAGTTGCTCCGCAAAAAAAGTGGAATGTTGATACTCGTATTGTCTGCGGCCTTCTTCATGATCAATGAGAGCCGGTAGCTGAGATAGCACCATCTCAACGGCTAGATCCCAGCTTTTCCAAAGCGGATGATGATGAGTCTCTGGGAGTTCGGGTGAGGATATCGGATGACACTTGTACGTGCGCATGATGCGCTCGCTGAGCAGGAAATTCCTGAAAAGCGCAGCTACCATCAGATCTTGGCGGAAAAGCTTCTTGAACAATGCCCGTGGCAATGTGTTCCATGCAATAGTGTCAGTGATTGCCGTGAAGATCCAGTTCAACTCGCCGAGAGGGCTTCTGCGGTCTTGCAAACGACCAGGGACTCTGAATTCATCGATTGACAGGTTCGTCTGGAGGGGATTCTGAAGAATGAAGTAGCGCAGCGCTATTTCTATGGGCGTGGTTAGACAGCAGGTGAAAAGGTCTGCAGGAAGGTCGGGATTGGTAGGCAGTGACTCGTTCTTCTGACAAGCCGCCAGAAGGATGCAATCTCCGTAGCTTTGAACGACAGCGTTCGGGTCACGCTTCTTGGCTTCGAGGTTCTCCTTTTCGTGCTTCTCCACGAAAGTGTGGAAATTCTGCACGATATTCCCGGCGTGGGAGACATCAAAAACGAAGAGACTGGGACCCGCGAGCCAGGATTGCAAATCATACAAAGAAACTGGGATGTACTGGGTATAGTTCTTGTTGAACACCCAGATTTCTCCCGATTGTGTAGGCAAAGGAACACCGTGACCGTTGTAGTGAAAGAGTACTCTCTCATCCTTGGCGTTACGACGCAGGGAAATGCAGAACTTTTTCGTCTCATCAACTGAAGGGTCAAGATACTGCTTGTACCTAGTTCTTAAGCTGAGAGTTTCGTACTGCTCTTGCAACTTCTTCCCAATCTGCTCCATTATCTTGTTCTGGCCACCGCCCGTGGTCGATGTAGGATCCACCCAGCATTCCAGCTTGGCTGACGGGTTTGTCTTCACCACGTCAGGAGGATCGACACCAATGTTCAAGCAGATGGCCAGGGCAGCCGAGACTGTCTTCAAACGATCCTTCATGCGCCAATCCTGACTGGGCCAGCTTCCGACTGGGTCTCTCGGGATGCCGTTTGTATCGTGCCGCTTCTCTGTGAAGTACATATAAAAGTTCTTGAAAGAGTCAGTCAATCGTCCGGGCCCAATGACCCTGGTGAAGTCGCGCCGCGCCGACTGCTTACCGAGTGTAGAACCTTAAGGTACTCGCTCGAGGTATACTCCTCCTGCCACCCATGTCGCATGGCGAAGTCTTCTTCCTCATCGGCAACAGCGGACTTGTCGAATCCCACTCTCGGCCCATAGTCACTTCTAACCCTTTTCAGAGCTGCTGTCGGTCTTCCGCTCGAGTCTGAAGCCCGGTCTGAAGTCAACCGAGGATTCGAATCGAAAATAGCCGAATTATCTCCTGCCGATGAGCTGGCTGGACGATGAAACGATGGTTGCGAATGTTCAACAGTGGTGTAAGATCTGTGGTGGCCTGAGGAGGGCGCTGGTGACTTGTCGCGCGGGGGGATATAAGTGTCCAAATCCGGACCGAAAGCGACACGGACAGACTTCTGATTCTTGCGTGGTTCAGCTTGAAGGCTTGACGCCTGCGGTTTCGCTGTCATGTCTTGCTCCATGTTGATGGTGGGATCCCTCATGGTGTGTAAGAGGTGATCATCTTCTGAACGCCGTCACCGTAAGAAAGGAGGGTCTGAAGATGGAATTGCGACTTAATCAGCCACCGGTCATATCGCTAAGAATCATATATGCTATGACTGTGCCCGCAGACTGAGGAAGTGATTTTGTCGGCGGGATAGCAGAAATTAAATTCCTACCTTGTACTCCGTAGATGATTATCATACCTCATCCGAGAGCCAGTTGGAACAGGAAGCCCTTACTCGACAAGGAGACGGTTTTCCTGAGATATCCGGAATCCAGCAACCAAGATATATGAATGCAAGCTTGCCCACAAGTCTGTAACAAGCAAGCTCGATCCCAGGCCCACAGCGTTACGAGCAGCTGTCTATCGCCGTGGTTGGGAGTGAACGAGGTTCATGAGCTTCGGCGGTGATGTCTTGGCGTGGGAGATCTAGGAACATCACTTAATCCGGTCCCCATTCGAAGTCCACAGGCATTACATCACAGATGCACAGCAATTCACTTATTTAGGTAGAGTGAGGTCTGTCCGCGATGCGTGCTCTGAAAATCACGGATCAACTTCTTGTTTGCTTCTTGTTCTAATGGGTTCTCCTTGAGTGCAGATGGACTCCGCTCCATGTTCAACTGTTATAGACCATACTCCGTAGTCCGTACTCCGTACTGTACGAGCCCCTATCAATCCGGGGCTCGACTGTGCAAAGATCTCTCAGTTGAAAACAACACCGCATATGATAGCTTTCGATATGGCTGGAGTGAGATATACTCTTTTTGCTAGCACGTCGTGAATTCCTCAAGCATGAATGCCGATGAGTCAGGGATTATTAAGGACACGTGCACTGAGACTGAATACCAAAGGCCATCACTAACAAGGCGCCACTAGTGTTGAACGCAGAAGAGAGCATGAAACGGTCCGCCTGTCAATTTATCACTAAGGTAGGTAGCATACGGAGTCTATCTACTACCTAATAATAACAGGATTCGAAGACACCCAGTGACCCAGCATGTATGGAGTAGTAAACTCGGTCCTCAAAGCAGACAGAGTGAAATTCCATCTCATTGTTATACTTATGTTCTCCATCATCCCTTTCTTAAGGTACTGCTCGACTCCTGTCGGGGGGCACTAGAATGATGCGGGCGCTGATAGGCCCAGCAACCCTGCGAATCCCCTCCCAACCTCCCGTTGGTACCTGAATTTTGAATCCAGGAACCCCCAATGAGATCAATTGGTGATCTGGCCATGGAATGACGGAAATAGATGATCATGATGCTCATCATCTCTTGATTATTATTTGGTTCTCCACCTTTTTGCAAAGAGAACAGGCACCCCTGAATGGACCATTCGTCCCTACTTTAGTGAGATCGTCCTTACCACTTGTTCACGAGGATATGATCTTCCCTCATTCCCTAAGTACCTAGTCATAATGATACAGAGTAGATCTTTGCAACCGTGGAGCACGCACTGCAAAGTAAGGTAGGTTACTCCTCATAAATTAGGATGCATCTTAGGCAAGGATTCGAGATGGACTCAAGATCGTGATTCATCCACCAAATGGACAATTCGCATGAACATGAACATCTCGTACCTGCGAGGCGGGGGAGTATCTAGAGTGCCTTTCCGGTCCTCGCTTGCCTCTCCAGTAGTAGTCATAACAATCCAAGCACTGGAATGAAGGAGCCACACATGAAATCTGCGTTCCGATATGGCCAAGGACTCCTCTCGGGCCCTCACATGTTCCACCTATGGAAGAATGGTAATACTAACGGTATATGGTATCCTTGATCTGTCGGATTCGAAGCACAGAAAGAATTCAGTGCATGATCAGTGGTCATCCTGAGGCAAACATGCATCACAAGAACGATAGGTAATTTCTGTAGGTGTTGAGGCTGTTCTTGGTTGAAGCTGTAAGGTACTCCGTACGGAGTACCAAGTGGCATAGCATCATCCATGGCTGTGCGGGAGGTTGGTGTAATTTGGATGCTGGATGGACTCGCTGTCGACCATTGAGGATCCCTAGAATTTGCTCAAGACATTGGATCTATCTATCTGAACTGTGGTGGAAAAATGATTCCAACCTCGTGGCCCGTGGCTCAATTTTCCCCCTTCCGTCAACCACTCAATCCTAATAAGCCACCAAAGCATCTACCAGTCTTGATGCAGAATAAGAATTATCTATCTAATAATGCTGTTCAGGGAACTTTGAAACGCCGGAGCCGCCTATAGACTTGTCTGCTGTAGTACTACCGTATTGCTGTTCTCCAATCCCGCCCCATACGAACCCTCGAACTGCCTTACCTTGACTGATTTGACCATCTTGACATCGTTCTTCTCCGCTTCCCTTTCACTTCTTTTTTCTCGCTTTCCCTTCTCTCTATCTTCCTCACTCTCCCTCTTTCTCTCTTTTCGTTCTTCTTGTTTCTTTAATATCATTTCTTTCTTCCGTCCTGTTTGTGTTTTGTTTTCGCGTCCTTATAATCTCCTATGCTCACTCGGAGTCGCAGTTGTGCTTGTGTGAGGTTGTTTCAGGGATAGTAGGGGGTTCTGCGGCCACTACGGAGTACTTCACCAAGGTATTACTGAAAACCTCAGAACATATTATAATTTCAGTCGCATCAAGACTCTGACAATTTCTCAAGACTTTCATCGCTGGCTTCGATACTCGAACTCGGACGTTGCATCGCCTCCCTACATCGATTAGTCGGTCTCTTCGCTCATAGGGGCTCTCCCTCAGCCTGGCGCTTCCTCCTTTCCACTGACATTCGCTACAATTTCTTGCTCTATGCAGCTTATCACTGAGGCTCGTGGAGAGGCGTGATTGGACCGGTTTACACTAGCTTTGGTTTTTAAAAGTGTTCTGCACCACACGATCTTGCGCTCTGGACGACCGTTACGAATCGAATATCCACGATGGCATTCTTGTTCAAATCAAAGAAGAATCAGCAGGCTACCGGCCTACCACCGGCGACAAGGAATATACACACCTCAGAAGGTGCTCCAGCCGCCACATCGCCGGGTGCTCCTAATGGAGCGAAGGAGCAGAGCGGAGGAATCTCTCAAACACCTACACCGAGCAGTAGCTACAATAATTCATTGAATTCGGTCAATAGCACGAGCAGTCCTGACCATCAAAGGGCCCGACCGAGAGCCGAATCTGAATCTCAGGTTGGTCATTGCGTGGTTGCGGAGCGAAGGAGCGCTATGTTGTACATTCTGACTTCGAAATTATAGGCACAACGACCACCACAAGCCATGAACAGCACCCCTCCTAATTCTAGCCCTGGTGCTTCGCTCTACCCCTGGTCGCAACGTCGACTCAATTTCTCTACACCCCAAGGAAATCCGTTCCCACGATATGGCGCAGCAATCAACGCGGTCGCTTCGAAAGAAGGTGATATTTACATGATGGGTGGATTGATTGATGGATCTACTGTCAAGGGCGATCTTTGGATGGTTGAAAGCAGCGGCGGAAATTTGTCATGCTTCCCAATTGCTACTGTTTCCGAGGGACCCGGTCCCAGAGTCGGTCATGCAAGTTTGCTAGTCGGGAATGCTTTCATCGTGTTCGGAGGAGATACGAAGGTCGATGAAAATGATGCCTTGGATGACACTCTATATCTTCTCAACACCTGTGCGTGTCCCACTTTTCTTGATCTCTTGCATCTCACGTTCACCTTGCTGACATTGTGATTTCCCTCAGCGTCCCGACAGTGGTCGCGGGCAATTCCCCCCAACCCTCGTCCGGCAGGACGTTATGGCCACACCCTTAATATTCTTGGTTCCAAGCTTTACGTGTTTGGGGGCCAGGTTGAAGGTTACTTTTTCAACGATCTTGTCGCCTTCGACCTCAACCAGCTTCAGAATCCTGCGAACAAATGGGAGTTTCTGATTCGCAATAGCCACGAGGGAGGACCGTCCCCTGGTCAGATTCCTCCCGCGAGGACCAATCATACGATGGTCAGTTTCAACGACAAGCTTTACCTGTAAGAATTTCAGCTCTTGTCTGTTAACCGTTGTCGGGGATTGCTTTACTCATTCTTTTCATAAAGGTTTGGTGGTACGAACGGCCTGCAATGGTTTAATGATGTCTGGTCTTACGACCCGCGAGCGAATCTCTGGTCCCAGTTGGACTGTGTCGGATTCATTCCCACTCCTCGCGAAGGACATGCCGCGGCTCTTGTCAACGACGTCATGTATATATTCGGTGGTCGTACGGATGAGGGCATCGACCTGGGAGATTTAGCCGCTTTTCGCATCACGACCCGGCGATGGTATTCTTTTCAGAACATGGGGCCGGCGCCTTCCCCGAGATCAGGCCACAGTATGACAGCATTTGGCAAACAAATCATCGTCTTGGCCGGTGAGCCAAGCTCTGCGCCCAGGGATCCAGTAGAGCTCAGTATGACATATATTCTTGACACCGCCAAGATTCGTTATCCGACTGAACCCCAGAACGGAGAAAAGGTCGCTGCACCTCCCCTGGCTATGAGGAAAGGAAGCAATGACCGACAGGGGGCGCCAACCGGCCGAACGTCGCGAGAGGCGCAGAATCCACCACCTGCAGACTCACAGCAACGGCGAGGACCAGGACAATCACGGGAGAGTATGATGATAAACCCGAATGGTCGACCAGGCGACCATGGCCCAGGCCCGGGATCTCGGTTACCAAGAGCGTCCATCGCGCAGGCACCCGCTGGGCCTCCTCCGCCGGGTCAGGCACCAACACCTGGTCCCCGAGGCAGCACACCACAGCACGCCATGAATCCCAGAAGTAAAACGCCGACTGATCGTAACTACGGCGGTCCGGCAGCAGACACTGTCCGGGCGATGGCATCCGAGAGAGACAGGGAGTCACCGGTGGCGAGAGAATCCCCCAAAGATCCCCGCACTGCTAATGATCAAGGGCCAATGTCAAGTGGACATCGAACACCCACTCAAACGCCGTCAAGAATGTCTGCCAGAGCCATGGAGGCTGGCGAAGCTGCTCCTTTAGCCAGACAGCGC